TCTTAGAAGGAGAGGCTTTTAGATCTCCAAGCAAGGCAAGAACAGCCTCACCAGATGGAGCAGGAGGGATTTTTCTGGATAGGGAGATTCAGTGTGGGATTGGGGAGTCAGGTACTGCCCCATCCAAATCCTGCCACCATACCCACTCCATTTTTCTCAGAACTCTGTCCTTTCTCATTTCCTAATTTTACATGAGAGCACTAGCAAACTAGGACGTTCATCTGATATTATAGTTAATAATCCACAGTCAAAGTGTGTGGGGTTTGGTTTTTGTTTTTTACTGTTTCATCCCATTCTCCACAACAAAATAAGGTATTATTTTATCATCGTAATAGAAGGCCACTGGGCTTCAGTATCTTCTTTATTTAAACATATGAAGATTGGAGGTTCTCAGACCCTCCCTGTAAGTTGTTACTTACATTGAAATTGTCACCCCCTCCTGGAAGACCTTCCATGGCCCCATCAATAAGGAAAATCAAATGGGAAGCAAAGGGAGCTGTAGGGCAGAAAAACAGCCACTCAGGCTTCCTAATATAGATAAAAGGGCTTTCCTGACATTCCAAGGCCAAGGATCCACATCAGAATTTGGAACCAAAGCCCCAGTTTGTAATCAAGTGTTCCTTTGCCTGGTTTCTTTCTAAGTAAATATTTATTCCCATCAGAGATACCAGAGAACTTACAAGCTCCCTGTGACAGGGGAAGATGAGGTGTTTGGAGTCTTAACTTCCCTACATCTTCCTCTCTATATGTAGAATTCTCTCTCAGCAGAACCCTAAATCTCACTTTAAATCTGTATCATGAGGAAGTATAGAAAAACTAGGAATTCATGTCCTTATAATAGGAAAATGTACTAATAAACTGATGTTGACTTTTTATAATTTCTTAAGTGGAGAATGGCTCATTCAAAATATTGACCAAGTGCATAGCTGGGTCTCACAACGTGTTACATAAAAATTGTACACTAAAAATGGTTCAAGGTAAATAATTGACACATGCTAGAAAACAAAATGTTTTCAACAGATATTTATTGATCTATATTTTTCCAGCATTATTCCAGAATTACACGTTCCTCTATTCTCATACATGGGGGATTTCTTATCATATATTGATATAGACTTATAGATTTCATCCAATACCTAAGCAGTAGAATCTTTCACCTTGAAAAAGTCCTATTCTCTTTAGAATGCAGTTTTTTTTTCAAGTTTAAAATGGGGGTGTGCTCTAGATTCTTTCTCTAAAGTGCCTTCTAGCTCTAAGTGTGTTTGACTTTTTTTTTTTTAAAGTAGGCTCCACACCCAATGTGGGGCTTGAACTCACAAACCCAAGATCCAGAGTCACACGTTCTGCAGGCTAAGCCAGCCAGGTGCCCCCAAGTGTGTTTGATTTTTAAGGGATTGTCAAAATTACATACTCCATCTAGTTTAGTCTCTAATTTGCCTATTGGATGATCAAGATATTTCTGCCTGAAACAGTGTTGCTTGTCCTAGGAATTTACTCTTTCAAGCTGAGTGAAATTCAAAGGACACTTTTAGGTAATTAACATATGGCATTCATGTAGCATCTTTGGCTTTAAAGTTCTTTCAAATTCCCTCCCCACACTTTTATGTGATAAACAGATAAGGCAACATTATCTCCAATTTACAGGTGAGAAATAGGAGGCGTGATCCTTCCTGACTCCTGATCAGGTCCTGCTCTCAGCAGGATCCTATGCTTCAGGGACACCACTAGCAACTAAGCAGACTTCCTGGAAGAGCCCTGGCTCACATTTTGCTGTTAACAAAGCCCCACTGCACCTTATTTCGTGCAAGTTAATTCCCCTGAAGGGGGAAGCAGAAGTGATGTCAGCGTTGGCCCCCACCCCATGGGGACTACAGGAAGGAAGAAGCTGCTTGCCAGAAAGTGAGACCCAGAGCTCAAAGCCCAGGGACATCGCTGCCAACCCTTTGAACAAAGCTACAAAGAGGAGGGATGCGCCCAGAGAAGTGTACAAAAAGATCACAGGGATGAAGTCAAGCTGGGGCGTCTCAGAGAGCCCAGGGAACCTCTCAAGAAGGGGCTCAACCAGCTCAAGAAGGGGCTTCCACAAGAAACAGCACAAAGCAAGGAGCTGAAGCAAGCAGCAGGCCATGGCCTCATGGCAGAGTCACAGCCAGGTAGAAGCCGTAAGCAGAGAAGACTCCAGAAGGCAGGCAGAGGTGGAGTGATGGAAATTCTTCTGAGACACATACTTATTAGAAGTATGTGAGAGGTGTTGGGAACAGAGAGCACAGCTAAGATCTCCTAACAGCCTGTGCTTTACAAATACACGGTGCGAGGGGAGGACTTTTATGCTCTGCTCACTGGATTGCCTCAGTTTTCTGACCCAGATGAGTTTCAGGGTCTAGCTTAAGCCTAGTTCAGCTCATCCAGGGTTTGAAATGGCCAGAGAACGCTAGTATATGGGTACTAACGTCCTTTTCCCCAGGACTGCGCCTGGAGACTCCTTCTTTTCCCATCACATAGATGAGTCTATCGATTGTTGATAATATCATGTGATCCTGACTAAATTGTATACACCATGTAACTGGAGCAGTTTTAGTTTCTAATGGGGGAAAGAGAGAATATTTTGGTTTTCCCAGGGGAGAAATTATTATTTCTATGTACAGAGAAGAAATTGTAAAAATGAATGAAGATGGAGATGGCAGGACAGTGGGGAGACAAGAGAAAAAGTACAGAACAAAAGGGAATTGGGGCTCGCAGGAAAATTGATCTTGTATGTGTAAGAACTAAATTTAAAATGTGAATTGATATGGATGTGGGAGAAATTGCGATTTCTTTTTTTGGGTGGGAATCTACACCACCTCCTCTTCTCTCTCTCTCTGTCTTTTGTGTGTGTGTGTGTGTGTGTGTGTGTGTTTTTAACAGAGGAGAAACTGAGACTAAGGATATTAAGAGATTTGTTCAAAATAATGTAACTAGTAAGTAGTGATAGTCGGTATTGGAATTCTTATGATTTCAGGAGCTACATTAAGACCTAAGTGATATTATCCTGGATTCCGTGTCTAGATAACAGGGACATCCAGACAGAGGAGAATGAATTTATTCAATAGGATTTAAGAATTTTTCAATTTTTCAGTGCAAGGGGAGCCTGGGTGGCACAGTCAGTTAACATCCAACTCTTGGTTTCGGCTCAGGTCGTGATCTCAGGGTCGTGGGATCAAGCCTGGTGTGGGGCTCTGGGCTCAGCGTGGAGTCTGCCTGGGTCTCTCTCTCCTTCTGCCCCTCCCTTCCACTCTCTCTCTTTCTCTTTCTAAAATAAATAAACATACCTTAAAAAAAAATAGAATCTTCCAGTGCAAGATATGTCACAAATACAGGATGAGAAGAAAATGAGACAAAGTCCCTTTGGAGCTCACAGTCTAATGGGGGAAATCAGACGCTCAGAAGGGTGAATTGCAGCATGCTTCGGGAGCCCAGGGAAACATGAAGGACTGTGGAGGCTACAGAGACCGAGTGACCGTTTGGGGGAAAGGGAGAAAAGGCTTTCCTTAGTAGATCACACATGAATGAGATCTTGAAAGATGAGTAGAAAATTTTCAGGCATCAGCAGAACAAGTCCCTTCTAGATTAAAGGGACTGATGTCAAAGGAAACAGGAAAGAATGTCTGGCCATAGCACAAATTTGTGGGATGGAGCACAGAGAGGGGAGGCTGGGGAAATAAGTCCACACCATATTACAAAGCTCCTTGTTCTCTAGGCCATGCCAGTAATTTTACACCTTGCCCTTGGGTGCTCTGGTGCCAATAAGGTTGGTAAGCAAGGAAGAGTCTGGGAAATCTCTAAGAATTTTCTCTGAAATTCTGTCAGAATAGATTCTATAGCTCTATGGTGAGGGATTATTTAGTTTCTATGTGGTTTAGACCTTCCCGAGGGTGACCACCTGTCTCCGTTTGCCCTGGACGCTCCTAGGTTTAACAAGGGAAGTCTCATGACCAGGAAACTGCTCAATCCCCAGAAAGCTGGCACAAGGGCGATGACTGAATTTGCCTAATAATGAGGACCACACCACATAGCTGGTGGGAAATAACAGCTGATGTTGACTGAGTGCTGCTATGGACCAGGTGATTTTATTTAATCCTTACAACAATCCCATGAAATGGGCACAATGATTGTCCCCACTAATACAATTCAGCAAGGAAAGGGGAAATGGCTTTTCCAAGTTTACCAACAAGTATAAGTGGAAAAGCTGGGATTATTAATTCTGGTCTGACCTCTGAGGCCATGCTCTTAAGACACATGTTTCCTTAGTGAATGGACAGATGGATGGATGGGTGGATGGATGGATGGATGGATGGATTGACAGATAGACTGCACTTATCCAGAAGCAGAGAGAAAAGATGACAACAGGTGCCTTGTGGATGAGATTTTGTATTGCTTCATTATCTTGAAAAATTTAAAATGGCATGTGTATTTTTGAGATGCAGTTGATGAAGATGGTTATTTCTACCTACAACTTCATTCAATGTGTGGCCCAAGTAATGCATGCTTAAAAATCTATGCTGATTTTTATTGGGCACATCTACATTAGGAAATATAATTTCAACTCTCATGTTGTTAAATAAATAAGCTGTTACTTATGTCTCTGATATTATGCCATAGATCAGAGATCAAAGTGGAGGAAAACAGTGGGATAGCCATTTCTTCATGGATTGATTTAGGCTTTATATGACTGTACTTCTTCCCGACATGAAGAGCTCTATGTATGGTCTTTCCTTCAGTCTCCTGAATTACATATACATAATCTGTCACAGAACCTTGGACAAAACAATCGCTCCCCGGAACCAAGCAGAACTCCAAAAATCAAGGGTTGGGCAGGTGGGTGGGGGTGAGGGGTGGTTGGGTGTGGGGATGACAGAATGATTAAGAACAAGAGCTGGAGCACGATCCGTCTCTTCCTGAGACCCTTTTGTGTCCATGCTCGGGAATGACACAGAATATGTGTTCCATGCCTACAGAATTTAATGGGCCTTGAGCTTTCCCTTCCGCTACTTCTTCTGGCAGATGTGAACAGCAAGGAAATGCACAGTGGAAACCAGACTGCTGTGTCTCACTTCATTTTGGTGGGCCTGCACCACCCACCACAGCTGGCGGTGCCACTCTTCCTGGCTTTCCTAGTCATCTATGCCCTCACCGTCTCTGGCAATGGGCTCATCATCCTCACCGTCTTGGTGGACACCCAGCTCCACCGCCCCATGTACTGGTTCCTGTGTCACCTCTCCTTCTTGGACATGACCATCTCCTCTGTCATTGTCCCCAAGATGCTGGCTGGCTTTCTCTTGGATAGCAGGGTTATCTCCTTCGGAGGCTGTGTAATCCAACTTTTTTCTTTCCATTTCCTGGGCTGTACTGAATGCTTCCTCTACACGCTCATGGCTTATGATCGTTTCCTGGCCATTTGCAAGCCTTTACATTATGCCACCATTATGACCCGCAATGTCTGTAACTTCCTGGCTTTTGGCACCTGGCTGGGAGGCACCGTCCACTCACTCTTCCAAACAAGCTTCATATTCCGGCTGCCTTTCTGTGGTCCAAACCGGGTAGACTACTTCTTCTGTGACATTCCTGCCATGCTGCATCTAGCCTGTGCTGACACCACCATCAATGAGCTGGTCACTTTTGTGGACATTGGGTTCCTGGCCCTCACCTGCTTTATGCTTATCCTCACTTCCTATGGGTATATAGTGGCCGCCATCCTGCGAATGCAGTCCATCGATGGGCGTCACAACGCCTTCTCCACCTGTGCCGCCCACCTGACCGTTGTCATTGTTTACTATGTGCCCTGCACCTTCATTTACCTTCGTCCTGGTTCTCAGGAACCCCTGGATGGTGTGGTTGCTGTCTTCTACACGGTCATCACTCCCTTGCTCAACCCCATCATCTACACACTCCGTAACAAAGAGATGAAGACAGCATTGTGGAGGCTGGCAGGTCGCAGAGATGTGCAGCCTCACTGACTCATGCGTCGCAGACGTGCAGAAGACACTAAGACTTAGGACACCAGATGGGACACTGATAACTGGGGAGATTTAAGGCAGAAAGGAAAGAAGGATCCATGCAGAGAGTAGAAGACTCCTAGGTACACAGATGGAAACTCTGGAATTCTTCCTGGTTTCAAATAGGATTTTTTTCATATTTCTTCCTTCAAATCCAATGGGAATCAGGCAAAGCAACTCAACAAGGATGGAAGCTTGCAGAAAAGATCCAAGATAAGTAAAAATCCACATGAAAAGTCTGATCCTCTATGGGCATCAATCTACATGTTTAGTATTGCTTCTAATCCTTGAGCTGATTCCCATATTGCTTTTTCCATGTTACAAATAACCTTCATGCAAAACATGAGGTTTGACCTTGACATCAATTATGTGAGGCAGGTTTTATTATTCCCATGTAGCTGTGGGAAACTGAAGTCAAGGGAGAGCGTGGCCCTTCCATACTTCCTGCTCTCAGCCTTTTACTTTGACAAAATTGGTTGATAGACTTGAACTTGAGGAGGCAATTCCCCCACACTGTGAGGGAGCTGTTCATATGCACTACATCACTACCTCACTAGTTCTAGCCTTCTCAGGTTGCACAGGGCTCCACTTTGGTAAAACTGAGGGAGGTATGTCAAGGATAAGCTTTCTTGCTCACAAACATAGACTAGATCCCCTGGTGGTTCCATGGAGATCAGCAAAGCAGATCATGTGAGGTGGTGGGAGAATGTATGTGCTACCACATTCTGGCATTTTCCCACAACTGTTGAGTATGAATGAGGAGCAGGATGGGTTGGGGCATAGACCTGGTGGCAAGATGATGACCCGAAGCCTGTCCTGTTGGTTTTCCTTGTAAGAATGTGGCCAGTAGCTCTTGGAGGTCCTTCACTCCTAGGTTTTGGGATACGGGGTGCTAGAGATGCTTTTGTTGTTTCAAATGTACATGGGTAAGGACAACCTAAGAATGTTCACTCTATTCTCCAAGATCAATTCCATTTGTTAAATAAAATGATGATAATGAATAAGAACTACTTTCGAACTAATTTCTCTGGACCAACACTTTCAAAGATGAAATGTGTATGATCAAGGCTTTTCTTGCTCTCTGTTATAACAGCCTTACACATCTAAATATGCATGAAGAGGCAAGCCAACTCGACTCAACAGAAATGTATGCAGTAGAACTCCAATACTATGACATTGTTGTCTGTTCTAAATGAGCCTGTGGTCTTCTGAGAAGCAAGTTCATTTGTATCTGAGCATAGAGATAAAATATCTGACTAGAAATGAATAAGAAACAATTGGTACAATTCAGTGTCCAATAAGTACGGTAGTAGTTCAGGAAAAGGAGACCGAGAAAGAGTGTTAGGTCTAGGATTTGTAAAGCCGGCATCATGGGAAGTACAGGATCACAGATGAGTTGAAGGTCTTGTAAAATCTAGTCAGTCAGAGGAAAGGAGTAGCTAGAAATTTTTGTGTGAGGGGAAAAACAAAAATCCCTTAAGGATGTTCCTAGGAGAATGCTCTAGAAAAGTCTAATTAACCACTTTAGGAGGAGCAGCCCTGGGGCTAGGAAAAGGCAGTTTACAAACTCTATTTGGCACAGATACAAAGTAGAGTGTCACGGGCACCTCAGCATCCCGCGGGCCAGGAGGAGACAGAACTCTGTCAGTAAGCCTCCTGGGCAGAACAGACCACCGCGAAGTCAGAGGAACGCAAACATAAGCACCTCCTTTCCCACTGAGGCCAATGACACATGATGCGCCAAAATGAAGGCTCACATCAAAAACTTAGTATGTTGTTTAACTTTTAATAGAGAACTATAAAATACATGTTATCAATTTTTTAATAAGACACCAAAAAACATAACACAACAAGGAACAAATTTCACTTATCCTCCAACCACAGTTAAAACAGCAGCTGAGCTGAGGGGTGAACCTAAGTCTGAGTCTACAGTTTGAACTCTCCACTAGAAGGAACTACAGGGAGTCCTGTTTTCTACGTAACTTCACCTCTAGGGAGGGTGTTTTGTTTTCAGGTTTGTTTTGAGGTTTTGTAGCCCTGAGAGTGAGAAAAATAAAGCAGAGAGGAAAAGCACTAGCCTGAATGTTTCTCCAGTGTTAAAAATAGTAACTAAGAACATACTACTGTTTAGAGTTTGAATTTTCAGTGTGCTTTGGCTTCCTTCTAAATTTGGCTTCTTGTTTTAAAATTCAAATAACTCTCTGGCTTCGTATTTTAAACCTTAAGTAATTGATCCAAGTAAGATTTTATATTAGAGAAAGAAGCAAATTGGAAAATTGTGTTAGCTTTCATTTCCCAAATGACTAGCTAAATGTCACATTACCCTTGTCACACACACATGCTTAATATGCTACCTTCTAAATATACTAAATTCTTACATGTACTTCATCTTATTTCACAAGATCCTTTATACATATAAATATATTATATGTATGCATATGTTTTATATATGTGTGTATATGTAACACACACAGACAAAATACAAATTCCATTAATATGTCTGTTAGCACAAACTTTTTGAATAGCTGCATTTTAAAAACACCTTTAAATACCTGGTAGGAGTACTCTCTCATATTTTCTATTCATGTTTAGATTATTTCCAGCTATTTTCTTATAGTTATTTAGGTGGATTTATAAAAATTTTGTATGTTATATATATTTTGTATATTTTAGTGTATTATATATTATATTTTTTAGAAATATTTTGATTTCAGGGTGCCTGGGTGGCTCAGTCGTTAAGCGTCTGCCTTCGGCTCAGGTCATGATCCCAGGGTCCTGGGATCGAGCCC